CGCCTCTCTTACTGGATGCGGGGAGTTAAAGATCAAGAATCCCCCAATGCACCACTGAGTTCTTCTTATGATCCCCCTTCGGGGTACCGAGAGCCCGATTCCTTGAAGTTCCCCTCGACAAATGGGCTTCGAATTCGGTCCTCAACGAGGGAAAGTAAGAGGAAACGGCAGAGTAGAGAGGAGAGGAGGATGGTTGACCGGGAGTATGATATTGTTTTGGTTCCTTCTGATGGAGGATGCTTATCGGGTTCGGAGTCTGAGGATTCGGATTGGTCTGTGGGGTGGTTGGAATCTCATGGGTCCGGCTTTGATGGTGATGCCGAGAATAGCTTTGCAGTCTTGGTGCCTTGTTATGGGAGAGGGAGGAGTGAGAGGGTGGACAAGGTGAAAAGTGATGTCTTGGGCGCAGCTCATCAGCCAAAGGTGTTCTCTTCTGGTGAGATTTTACTCCTCTTCATTGAGATATTGAATATTCTACAATGGTTTTTTTAAGATAATGTTGGATATGTCCTGTTAGTTCTAGACTTCTAGTAGCTTGATATGGTACTTAACTTGAGTATGTTAACTTGACAATGCCGATCATTTCTGATAGGTTCATGTATGTGATCTCTGTTGCTATAAAATAAAGTATGTGATCTTTGTTCTAACCTAATATTTTTGTGATTAATTGCAGATATACCCTCTGTATTATATGGTATTGCCATTTACTATACCTGAACTTTGACTTTAAAGTGAGCACATACACAGGGCCGGTTCTGAGATTTTAGGGGCCCTGTGCGAAAAGTAAACACATGGCTCTTCTCTATATACAAAATATCAATAAATTCGAGTGCCCGTCATCGGCAAATGTCATCACCTTCCTACAAGCAATCAACTTCTCTAATAACCACCTTCTTGCTCATCCTCTTTAAATGGTTTCAACTATTTATGTTTCTTAGAACCTCACGCACATCCAATGACCAAGAAGCCACATTTCCTATGTCCCCAAAAAATAGTAGCATCCCTCTGGTTCTCTACCAAAATAAAACCTCACTCTCTGCCGAATAAGAATTCAGGAACACTTCAATACTCTTTTAAGAACTCCGAAAATCAGATCATACTCAAGTTATGATTCCATATAAAACACCAAATTTACATCCAGGAGTATCCAAAAGAAAAACCCACGTCCTAAATTACTATTTTGGATGAAATAAATCGACAGAAATTATCATAATGAACAAAAGGGATTTTAAAGAACAGCCAAAGCATGAAATTTCTCACCCTATAATTAAAAAACAGATGAATCGTACCGGAACATAGCGAAACTTCCTCTTCGACGGGTCCTCGGGTGTGGCAGGAACTCCATCGTTTTTTGATGGAGAAATCGGAGTCCATTTGTAGAGTTGCCGTAGATCTGAATCGAGAGATCTTACCATCGTAGCGCTCGTCTTGCTCCACGAGCTTGGCGATGTAGACGAACCCCTCTCTCGACGCCATTGGAGATCATATCTGAGCGGATCTGCGCAGATTTGAGCGGACCTGGCAGCGGCGGTGTCGTAGCGGAGAGAGAGGTCGATTCGATACCGTTTTGGGAGGCTTCGTTTTGGGGAGGAAGAAGGGTCTTGGAGTTGGTGGGGGGGTTCTAGTTTGGGGAGGAAGAAGGTTTTTGAGAAAAGGGGGAGAGAGATCTGGTTTGGGTAGCTGATTTTGGGGGGAGGAGAAGGGTCACGGAGCTGGAAGCAACCTATTTTACCAAAAAAAAAATTGGGCCCCCAATTTTCGGGGGCCCTGTGTGGTCGCACCTTTCGCACACCCTCAGAGCCGGCCCTGCACATACACCCCCCTGAAAAGGAAACAAGAGTTACAGCTCTGTTAAATCCTTGGTAGTCGTGAGTAACCCTTAATTTAAATTGCCTAACTACCATTCACTGGTTTCATTTCTTATTAATCCTTTGGTTTTTACCTATGTTGTAAAGACCAATGAGACCCCCTGTTTTTTGATTAAGTGCACAAACACCCCTGGGTACATGCATCTAAGAGCCCTGATGCAGTTGTAAACAACAATAAAACCAACACTTACAGAACATGTGAATATATAGATCCACATGTACATGATGATGTTTTCAGAAAGTAACATGATTTCACTCCACATTCCACGTTATAGGATACTGTTTACAAGATTAAAGTTTTAAAACCAACACTTACAGAACATGTGAATATATAGATCCACATGTACATGATGATTTTTCAGAAAGTAACATGATTTCACTCCACATTCCACGTTATAGGATACTGTTTACAAGATTAAAGTTTTTATTACACCATTATGCAGATGCTGTTTCGTCCGCGCGAATGAAACCTAAGCTCAAGAAATAAAAGACGATCATAACTAATAAGCTGACAAATAGCTAAACACACGCCCTATGTTAGGCTTCTGAAGAGATCTATACATTCCGGAGATCCGAGAGGACCGAGACCAAAAAACTTCTTATTTTATTCTAAGCTTAGGTCTGAAAATTTCAATCTTTCTGTCTTAAAATCTATACGGACCTTTATTCTGACTCAAATAGGTTTACTTCTAATTGCTTCCGTGCCTATAGAGAATGTACGAATTAGATGTTTATTTTTGACAAGAAAGAAAAGAAACAGGGAAGGAAAGAGGGAGAAGGAAAAAAAGAGGACTTAGGGATGTTGGAATGATAACTTAAACTAATATTTTTTACTATTCAGGGTGGACTATGTCCTAATTTAGAAGTTCAAGGGTAGTATACGGAGAAGCGCCAACATTACAGAGGGCCTATATGTAATTAAACCATTCTTTTTATTAACAATTTTTTGTAGATTTTCTGAAAGCTCTATATAGATGTTTTGCTTCATAGGTCGTTCTGTTCTGATTGTTCATGTTCAAGATGTTAACTATGTTTTATGGGAGCTTTAGTTTGTTGATGAGCGTAATCTTTCTAGTACATGGTTATTTACTATTTACTTTAAATGAACTTGGTTGTTCGTGTACAAGGATGTTGATTGGAAAAGGATTTAGACAACCACTCAAAACCAGTTGGTACAGGCTTTGATTCTGTTCTTTTCTGTGTATCCAAATACTCTGTTCTCAAAGGACACCTTTCATTTGACGATCTACAAATGCCTTGTGCTGATATAAGTGACAATCATTGACACATTGGTTTCTTGACGTGGTTGATGCTTTCTGATAGAATTAAATTCCATAACTTAAAATCATATAAAATTCAGATAAATAGAGTAGCTAGTATTTGTTTGCTTGCTCTTCTTGCCACATAATGTTCTTCATGAACCTGCACACATAAGGTAGGTTATACTTGAGTTTTTGCTAGTGGAAATTTTTTGACTGGGATTTGACTATAGGGACACAACCAGTTTAAATATTTATTTTTTTGTCAATGAAAATTTCCCATCCATTTTCGTTTAGCAAATGCCTTTTCTGTTTCTTTTTTTTCTTGATAAAAATGATTAGGGATGATGGCATTGATTTCCTTCTGGTGACTTAATAGAGATGATCCATGGCTATGAAGTTTCTGAGCTCCATTTAATATTCTGTTAGCTTGCCTAGCAGCAACACGCCTGGTTTTTTAGTCTAGTTAAAATAAAAGCCATATGCAATACCCAACTCTTGATTCTTTTGAAGGCAGACAGTTGATTGTGTCGGTCATCTCATGACTGTTCTGAACAGGCCCTAGAGTAATGTCTTTTCCAATGAGATGAGGTCTATGGCTTATTGCTTACACCAACAGGCATCTATTTATATTTGAACGCGTCATGTTGATAAAATTGTTTATGATGCATTATCTAACTTTTGGACATGGAATGATTATTTTAGATTGTTGCAAAACCTTAATCATTATGGCACCGAATAGTGTGCCCCAGTATTAGTTAATGGGTGATATCTGTGATATGTAGGATGCTTTCCTCTGTTAAGTATAGATTTTTGAGAGAAAACGGAGGGCTATGATTGAGTGAGAGTTAGGATTTTATAACCTAGTGCTTTGATATCATGTTAAGTGAAGAAGTTCAAGAGAAAATGGATGATATCATTCATTCTATAGAGGAGCTTGTATACAAGAGTAGGAGAGGTAGCTCTAATTCCCAAGCAATGTGGGATTGTGAGAAATGAATACACGAATGTCTGGCAAAAATATTTAAATCCCGCTCTCAAAGTACCTTTGGTAGACCCAAATATAGTTTGAGAGTGAGTGTTAAAAATGTATTAAAAAGTGGGCTTCAAGCCCGCGTAGGCTCTCACTTAGGCCTAAGCGGTACCTAGGCAGCTCGCCTATACCTAAGTGGTATCTAGGTTGCCCATCTAGGTCTTGCGAATGCCTAAGGGAGCATGGGCCACTTATGTGGACTACCCCTGTTAGGTCTTGGTTGGGACTTCCTTCAGTGCCGACTCAACATCCTTTGACCTCCTTCATTGACTATAAACATCTGATCCACCCCCTCCGACCTTTAGCATCTTCTTATCCACCACTACTTAAACAAAGATATATGTGGCCCTACCTAGGTATCCACTTAGGTGCTTAGGTGCCCCGTCGCCTAGTAGCGCTTAACACTTTCTGTAATGTCGGGTGTCAAATATTGTTGTCAGTCACTCTTGTATACATTCCTTTTAGTTCCACAGTGCTTGGAATACTAGAGCTACTCCTACTCTTGTATATAAGCACCTCAATAGAATGAAAAATATTATCCATTTTCTTACAAATCTCTATACTTAACATGATACCAGAGTAGTAGGTTATGAAATCCTAATCCTCACTCAATCCTAGTCTTCTATTTCAAGATTAAACCCATCGCAACCATCTGATCCATTTCTCCCAAAACTGTATACTTAACATGGTATCAGAGTTATCTTCTTCATCCTAGAGAGACATCTTTATTCTTCATCGACCTTAGGACTGTCGAGGGGGTTTTGCTGCAAACTTCATTTCTGCGCTTCTCTTATGTCAGCTTCCACCTTGGTGGCATCAGCTCCCTCCCGTAGCTTCGCCCCTCAGACGTTCAACCCCGTCGAGCCCTTGTCGTAATCCCCCTTTCCCATCACCACAGCCAACACCCTAACCCCGCCACTAATCCGCTACAGACCTCTCGCTGGCAAGCTCAAAGCCCTGCTCCCTGCACAAACCCAAATCTCCCACACTCGCAACACCACAAAGCCCACGACAAACACCCACATCCAAACCCTAGAGCTACCCTCTATCAACCGAAGCTCGCCGCGAACTCACCTGCCACCAACAAGCCAGCCACCAACAGCAAACTCAAACTCTCACTCCCTTGAACTCTGGCCATAGCAACTCCATTGACCACCCTCTAGCAACTTCGGCCATCATAACCTTCAATCTCAACCTATGCTCACAGCCTTCAACTGCAACCCTCATTTCCCAATCAAAGTCCCCTCCTCCGGCCATCACAATTTTGGCCACCCGAGCGTCTTCCCCAAACCACACCTCTAGATCCACCTACAGCAAATTCTTGTCCACATGTTGACGATAATGCTTGAAAGATGTTCGATGAAATGCCTAAAAGAACCTCCACCATTCTGCCTCTTCCATCGCCACAGCGTTCACAGACTTCGCCACACTAATGATCACCAGCAACCTCATCCCTCCATCCCGCAGCAAACTTGGTTGCCCTCTGCACCTCCACATTGCCCGCTGCACCATGACATCGGAGGCAAACCCTCTGGCTACACCTTGCTGCCATCTACTGTGAACCCCATCCCCTTGCGAACTCCATCAATCTCAGCCTCATCTACAACCTCTGCTGCTGCTCGCATTGCTGTTTGCTCAAACCCTCACTCTATCCTTCGCTTTATCCCTGCTCCTCGAATGCACGCACCCCCCACCCCAACCCCCAACCAGGATCGTACCTAGGAATTTTAGGGCCCAAGGCAAAATATTAGATGAGACCTAAGTGATACAACTCATAATAGATTTTATCTCATTCTTCTTACTTTTTGAGTTACAAAATTACTAATTAAAGTTTTATATTCAATATTTTCTAACATATTATTTTCGATAGATAATATTGCTAAACCATTCAATCTATCATATAACATGGTCGATCTTAAATAAGATTTTAGTAATTTTAATTTTGAAAAACTTCTTTCCGGGAAAGCAACTGTTACGGGTATAGTCAATAGTACACGATAAGCAATATAAGTATTTGGAAAAGAATCTAATCACTTTATATAGTTCAACACTTCAATTGGACTATTAATCTTAATTTTTAAAATTTCCCTAAGCACTCTCAATTCTGAAAACAAATCAAGTCCATTAATATCTAAATATTCACCATGTTTTAGTGCATTTTCGAGATTAAGACAATATTCTTTCAATTCAATATCATCTAAAGCTTTTAAATTTTTTTCAAATCGAACAAAAAACCAAAAAAATTTCATATGTTTTAAATTGTTCAAACCTACTTTCAATTGAGCCAAGCGATTTATCAACTATATATAAGAAATATTCAATACGAAAAGATTCTTCAGTGTTAAATATTGTTTCATTACCAATATTTTTATCAATTTGTTTTTTCCTATGAATTTTACGTTTTTCACGAAATATAGGTTGTACGTTCATTTTATTAGCAAGTTCTTTAGTTGAATTCAAAGCTGACATAAAACCATTTTGTCTATAATTTTCTAAATATACGATAAGACCCTTTAATTGATCTATGACAATATCAATATGCATATCTTTAGATTGTAAGATTTTACTAACTGAATTAACTACAAACAATATGTCATACCAAATATTCGTAGCTAATAAGAATTCAAAATTTTTAATCTCATAAGTTGCTAAACTATTAGCTTCACTTTTTATCTTTGGATCTTCACTAACTTCTGCTAATTGAATTAAAGCATCTCTTATATTTGGAGCTTAAAATTTTATTGCTTTAACACTTTCAATCTGACTATCCCATCTAGTTTGAGATAAAGATTTAACGGATAACTTGCATCCATTATCTTCTAAAAAATTTCATCGTTTAGTAAAGGAAGCAAACAATGACTATATACGTTGCAACACTCCAAAAAAAGAAATAGCTCTAGGACATGAATTAGCTATATCATATAAGACTAAATTTAAATTATGACAACCACATAGTGTGTAGAATGCTCTAGGATTTATATCTAATAGCCTCTTTTGTACTCCATTGTGTTTTCCTTTCATATTAGATCCATTATCATAACCTTGCCCTCTTATTTCTTTAACATCAAGTTCATATTTTTTCAAAATATTTAAAAGTTCATCAAAAAGGCCATTTCCCGAAGTATCATCTACTTTTAGAAACTCTAAAAAGTATTCTTCAATCTTTATTGGACTTGTTAAAGTATCAACACATCTTAAAATAAGAGTCATTTGTTCTTGATGACTTGCATCTGGAGTACAATCAAGGATAACTGAAAAAAAATTTGCTTCTTTTATTTTTTAATGATCATTTTTTATAATTTCAGAAGCTAGCAACTCTATTAGTTCATTTTGCATTTTATGACTAAGATAATGATTTTGAATTTCACCTTCTTGAATACGTTTAACATGTTCTTGCATTATGGGATCAAATTCCGCTATCATTTCAACTAAGCTTAAAAAGATACGTTTAACATGTTCTTGCATTATGGGATCAAATTCCGCTATCATTTCAACTAAGCTTAAAAAGTTTTCATTATTTTTTTCATATATCTTTCTTTTGTTCCTCGAAATGCAAGATTATTTTTTGAGAGATGTTTTACTATAGCAATAGGTCTTAGCAAAACTTTTTTCCAGTGTTCTTTTTCTTTATTAATTTGTCTTGAATGTTTTTATCTATTGTCTTATTTTTTTGTAATCTTACTTCTAAATCTACCCATTTACACATATTAGTGATATGTTCATGACTTGTTTCATGATTTTTAATTTTATATCCAAGATTTTTCCAATCCCTAGTACCTTCGTTAACTAATTGACTTGTACTAGATTTTAAAGTAAATAATTTGCAACAAAAACAATAAACTCTATCTAAATCTTTTGAGTAAACTAACCACCTTCTTTCGTGTTTTTCTCCATTTGATAATTTTTTAATGTAATATGATGTAGAAAAGTGTCTATTATTTTCTTCTTTAGGAAAATCTACTTCTTTATGTTTAATTGGACATTTTCCAACTATTAGATCTATAAAATTTTGATCAATACATTTCCATTGTCCAGGATCATAAATATTGATAAAAATTGAATTCGATATCTCATTCATCTCTAAATTATTTTCTTGGCCCTCATCCTCATGTGAATCTTCTTTATATTATTCATTAAAATTAGGAGTACTAGCTTTTTCTTCTTGAATATTATTATTGTTAATATCATTATTTTGTCCTAAATTCTCAACATATTCTTCTAATTCATTCTCAATTAAAAAATCTAAAGGTTCATCTATTCTTTCTTCTTCTGTTGAAGTTGATGTAACATTATCTTTATTACTAAAAACAAATTTATCAAGAGCTCATTGTTGAGATCGAATTAATTTTTCAACTCTTTTTCTTTTTTTTAAAAATTTTTGACAACCACTTTCATATTTTTTATTAGGCATTCTTTCAAAATATAAAATAGCAAATAAAAAGCTTTCAATGTATATCTAATATCTACTGATCTAGAGCCTACAATATCTCTAATTAAATATAAAATTAATATGAATAAATGATAAAAAAAATTAAATAGGTTAGAAATGTGTCACTGTGGGAACTAGGAAGAACTAGAAGCTGGGGCCTAGGTTTGCCGGCCTGGCCGCCGGCGGTCAAGGGGTGCGCGGCGTGCGCTGGTGCCGCGGTCGCGGTCCGTGGGAGCCTGGAGTGGGAGCCTGGGAGGTGAGGCGAGGCTGGAAGTTCGTCGCGGCCTTCGCCGAGTAGGAAAGAGAGGAGGGAGCGACCGTCGCCGAGTAAAAAGAGGAATTAGAGGAGGCTGAGCAGAGCCTGAGGAGCTTGGGGTTAGGGAAGATGAGAGAGAGAGGATCAGAGGAGATTTAGAATTTCAGAGAATCAGATTTTAGAGGGGGCGGCGGCTGGGAGATTGATTTTGGATGTGGGGTTAGGGTTTAGCTTATAATTGGCGGGTGAGCATTACCCAACTTGAGGCCCAAGGCAGAGGCCTTAACTGCCTTATGCTAGGACCGGCCCTGCCCCTTATTTTGAAAGAATGCCTAATAAAAAATATGAAAGTGGTTGTCAAAAATTAAATATAAAATAGCAAATAAAAAGCTTTCAATGTATATCTAATATCTACTGATCTAGAGCCTACAATATCTCTAATTAAATATAAAATTAATATGAATAAATGATAAAAAAAATTAAATAGGTTAGAAATGTGTCACTGTGGGAACTAGGAAGAACTAGAAGCTGGGGCCTAGGTTTGCCGGCCTGGCCGCCGGCGGTCAAGGGGTGCGCGGCGTGCGCTGGTGCCGCGGTCGCGGTCCGTGGGAGCCTGGAGTGGGAGCCTGGGAGGTGAGGCGAGGCTGGAAGTTCGTCGCGGCCTTCGCCGAGTAGGAAAGAGAGGAGGGAGCGACCGTCGCCGAGTAAAAAGAGGAATTAGAGGAGGCTGAGCAGAGCCTGAGGAGCTTGGGGTTAGGGAAGATGAGAGAGAGAGGATCAGAGGAGATTTCAAAATAGCAGCATCTTCACCCACCCAAAACAGCAGCATCTTCACTTAGGTGTACTTCCCCACAGCCATACCACTCCACCAACAGCATTGCAAGCTAGACCCTTTAAGCATTAAATCCTCAAATCAAGTAACACCCCATACCAAAAATGAGTGTATTCTTGACTTGGTTGGGCAGTATACGCAATAAATGTGTCCATCCTTCTCTTACAGTTACAAATATTTAGAGTTATATTTATGTCAAAATATGTTCAAGTTATATTTATATGAATGTGTGTATAGTAGCTGTGGGCTCATCTTGATTTATGAGGACTGCTCTGATGCCCCTTACCTGTATGGGGATATGACAAATTCTGGATCAGGGGCATTGTTTCCTACCAATGGAATACGAAACCTGACATTCTATCACGATTTCTCGCAACTTTGTGTTTTATATGCAGTTTTTCGGTTTGTTTGTTGCAAGTGTCTATGTATTTGAAACTTGCTGATTTGTGGATCTTTGTTTAGATTCGTGTACGACAATGCATCTAAAGTAATCTCTACTTTTGTTGAATCTGCAGGCAAGGAGGATTACATTGAATGGTGGCTCTCTTCTCTCTAGAATGCGTGACTCATGAAGTCTGTTCTAACTGATTCTGTAAGATTGGTCTTGTACATATGTTTCCTTCTTGCCAAATATTAGATAGGGTTATACAGCACAAAACCCCAAAAAAAGAAGAAAAAAAAGGAACGATTTTTTAAAAGAAAATGTTGGAGTGAGATGGGATATTTTTTATTGCGTAACCTGTTAAAGGTTATAGACTATGATTGCTTTGCTTGGGGTTATGGATTGAAGAGGCCAATTGGCTTTGTTTATTATCCTCCCCTTCTTTTCTGTCTTGAAAAAAAATGTACATATCAAAAGAATATTCTTGTGTAATTATATCAATGTACAAATGCTGGAAGCATCTTTTGCCCAGTTTTGCTGCAAATATCTTTGAAAACCCAAACTTGCTAGCAGTGTCAATGATTTCTTCTCTCTTTTCTTGATTTGCTTTATTGCAATCTACGTTATGTAGTGAGAATTAGAGGTAGTGCAAAGTGCAAACCACGTATCATGTACCCTCTGAAGGAATCACACTTCTGGCATCTAGCTGTTTTAATATCTGTGAGGTATATTTGTTTGTTTTTTGTGTAAAGATTTATTTATTTATTGTTACTTATCGATACTCTATGGTTGGATGATTTTGTTTGTCGGATCAGATAATTGGTAAAGAGAGGACTTAATTATTTATTGCTATTGATATTCTATAGTTCGATGATTAGAATGCAGGAGATAATGGTGAGAAACTTTGTTTAAGCAATTCAAAATGGACGCTTTATGATCGGAGGACCAAAGTATATATCTCTTTCTAAAGTAAGAAGCATTGCCGCAACCTTAGGAGCGACAATTTTTTCTTTTTAGTAGTAACCTTCAGGGTTTGCTTGGATGCTTGGTTAAACAAGAACCAGAACAAATCTCTGGTTGTATTTGTAGCCAAAATTTGGATATATCACAAACAAAATTGGGGCACTCTCTAATATTTGCGGGCTGTAGTTTGAGGGTGGATATGCAATAGTTTCAATACTCAAGCTGAATTTGACGAATCGTATATAAATAGAAACCATGTTTAGTTGAAAACAACATTTTCATTTTTGAGGTCCCAAAAGAGTAATAGTGAATTACTTATGGAAATATTAAGTTGAATTACAAGGAATGAAACTGAATGCTGATCCTGGGCCGAACACTAAGGTTAGCCCATTGGATTTGTTCCATCAAAGGATACGCCCACTGATTATATCAGTTATTAAGTGAAAAAAACATCAACTAGAAGATTGAGCTTCGCTTGCTATATTTGAGTCTCTTGTATGTCTAAGAAGTGGAGTCCATGTGTACTCGATCTGAAACTGTGATACACTTAATATGCTGCTTCCTATTCTAATGGTTCACTCGCTTGACTTCAATATGCATAAACTGTTCTTCCAAATTAATATTCTAAGTGACCATTAATTGATTAATCCATGTTTTCAGCGATTTCATCAGAAGTTTAATGGCTATATTACCAGATTGTCATATCTATACGACGACAAGGTGTTTTTATTCGATCATGCTACGATAAGAGATGTGATATTTTTAAAGTGAATGGGGTTTTAAAATTGGGGGTCACTTTAGATTTGGGGTGCAAATTATGGTTTATATCCTTTCAAAATCATTTAAATCGGATCACCTGTGGTGATGAGGTGGTGGTGAGGTGCCAAAATCATCACCGAGCGTGAGCAATTTGCCCTAATTGACGAAAATAATCATATATTTTATTAATTGTAGTTGGAGCAAATAAACATACTTTATTATCAAACATGTCGTAGTAATGAAATATATAAATCTGGCAATTTAGCCAATATTTTTTTCTTCTTCAAAAGACGGTAAGAACTAAAAGGGAGAGCTAAAAGAATATTTAATTAGCTTACAAAACAGGAACAATAGAGAACTCTCTGCCTCTAGGTTTCAATAATGAAAACAACTAAAGCAACAGATCGAATCGTTTGAAATTTAAGAAAAAAAATATACGATGCTTGTGTTCCTTAATATAATTATCATATGCCATTGAAAAGAATATATAAACTTCATAATATTTTGTAGAAAGGCCGTCAGTTCATAGCTATTTAACTTGAGTTTATAAGACAGCATCACAACAGTCAATATATCCCTGTCAAAGAATTCAAAAAAATTGTAAAAAGAACAAGAGAAATACCACTAAAAAAAAATGAAATGTTGATATAAATTAACGTATATCTACCCATCATATGATCTGCATATCGTAAAATCTCATGGGAAATATAAATCAGAGAGAGCTCTCAACATTTGGAGTTGCATCCTCAACTCAGAGATGTAGTTTGCGGTCCTCGTGAAAAGTTGCTCAGAGCACAAACCTCTTCCTCCGGGGACCAACCTCTTGAGCTCTTTCACCTTCCGGTGGACCGAATTGACGCCGAGAGATCTCCTCCTCAGCCTCGAGGTCTTATGTTGTCTCCGTCTCCTCCTCATTGCCTCTGTCAATCTAAGTTTTCCTTCCATTGTTTGATATTAATAATGTAAGAAGAATGAGAAATAGAGGGAGAGAAAGAAGAGGAGGAGTTGAAGAGAGGAGAATGAGAGGGGTCCTTAAATAAGGTTGAGGGTTGTATTTGTATAAGATGGGAGGGAGGCCTCCATGTGATCCACCGTTGTCTGGGACGTGCATGTCCTTTCAAATTTATGGTTGTAGATAACCTAAAATCCTCGTGTGTTTGATATTTTATTTTTAGTTACGAATCAAAATAATAATAATAATTAATAAATAAATAAATTTAAATTTAAATTTAAATTTAAAATAAAATAAAAATAATATTAGTTAGATATGTTTGGGTACCAAGCTCGAAACATCTTTTTTTTTCTCTCTCTGCACGTTGATGGAGGATATCCATCTCTCTTTTTATCTTGTCAAAAGTATCTCACTCACTTCAACAATATATATAATGAAATTTCATAGCTGATTAGTAGAAATGATATCAAATGTCTCTTTCATTATATCAAAATTTCAAAGTTATAATTTCATAACTAACTTGCCGCTGCAGATTAATTAAACACTCTTTTCGTGGGTCAGAACTTGAAGTCACACTTTTTTTTTTTAAATCCACTTTTAATTCATGGTCTATGAGAATTGAATTTTGAATGCTCTCGTAGTGTGTCTAAATATCGTCCGCTACGCTAAAACTCTAGAGTTTTTATAATTTTATTGCGACGGATGATAAGGAGTTTACGAATTATTTTTCAAGAAGGTCATAAACATGACAGCAAGAAAAAGTTGTTTTTTTTTTTTATTTTTTTTTTTTTTTCTCTCTTTCTTTATTTTTTTTCTCTTCTTTTCTCTATTTTTTTCTATCTGTTTTATCTTCTTATTCTGATGCATCGCTCTTGCGATCGTTATCTTTTTGTGAGTCATTTTTTATATATTCTATATTCCTATATTATATTTTCTTCTCTATCTTCTTCTCAATTTTCTATATATCTTCTTATCATTCTCTTATATATTTTTTTTTTTTTTTTTTTTTTATCTATCTTCAATTTTTTTTTTTTTTTTTTTTTTTTTTTTTTTTTTTTTTTTTTTTTTTTTTTTTTTTTTTTTTTTTATTTTTATATATATTATATCTCTATATTTTCTCTCTATCTCTCTTTTTTCTTGTTTTATTTTTTATTTTTTTTCTTTTTTTTTTTTTTCTTATTCTTTATATATTTTTTAATTATTATTTTTTATTTATATTGATTATATTTATTATATGCATTACTATTAATTTTTAATTTTATTTTATTTATTTTTTTTTTTTTTTTCTATATATATATTATTATCTTATATTTTATATATTTTTTTTATATTTATTTTATGATATATATTTTTTATTTATTCTTTTTTTTATTTTTTTTTTTATATATAGATATAATATTTCTTTATATTTATATATATAATATATTCTATATATCTTTTATATTATTTATTTTATATTTTATATATATATTTTATTTATATTATTTTATTTATTTTATTCTATTTTTTATTATATTCTATATATATATATCTTATATATTTATTATTATCTTCTGTCTATCTCTATTTTCTCGCTTCTATTTTTTCTATATTATTATTTTATTCTATATTATATTATTTTATTTTTTTTTATTTTTCTTTTCTTCTAATTTTTTTATTATATATATTTATTTATTTTATATATTATTTTTATTTTCTATTTTTTTTATTTTATCTTTATTATATATATTTTTTTTTATTTGTTTTTATATTTTTTTTTTATTTTTTTATTTCTTTTTTTTTTCTTTTATTTTTTTTTTTTTTTTTTTATTTTTTTTTTTTTTTTTCTTTTTTTTTTTTTTATTTTTGTATTTTTTTTTTTTTTTTTTTTTATTTTTTTTATTTTATTTTTTTTTTTTTATTTTTCTTTTAGTTTTTTTTTTTTTATTTTTTTTTTTTTTATTTTTTTTATAAAGCCTACTCAATAACAAAAACTCTTATTTTTATTATATATATAATATATTTATATTATATATATATATATATATATTTATATATTATATATATATATATTTTATATATATATATATAATTATATTATCATTTATATTTTATATATTATATCAAAAAAAAAGATAACTATAGATCTATATACATGACTCATAACTATGCTAGCACTACTATAGCGTATCACCACTACTAACCCTGGGGCTGGCAGCGGTACACCATTACGTACTACTGCCCCGGGAGCTATAGTCAAAACTAATGAGAAACTTGGTACCAAGTTGCCTCCAAACAACCTGTAGTGACTGGTGCACCTACGCACTTGCCCCTACATCTACATGCTTGTGAATGGGGTGAGCCTAATCTCGAGGTGAGAGGGGCAAGAATTTAGGCCCACATCACACCAAACCGTTCATTTAAAGCAACTTACCAAGTTCTCATGCATCTTCCGCTCGGACCCAGCTCTCTCTCTCTCTCTCCTCTCTATAATACATTATGATAACCAGATATTATATATATCGATCTACTCTCATGATCCAAACAGTGTATAGGAATCAACTAATAGTAGCGATAAGCTACTCATATATAATCACTTATATAAGTAGTATATATTAGTACCGCATATATAATTCATAAAAAATACAGAATTTATATAAATTCATGTCAGTTCTTTTCCTAAAACTTTTTCTAAAAATGTGAACCAACAACCCATAACAAATACCTCATTCAATCTTTTAGTAATTCACCAAATTAAGGGGAAAATGTGTCTAGGCCCCCAAAACAGAAACTTCATGTGCTGCAGCCCTTCCTAGTTTTCCCCATGTGGTTCAACCCCTTGAAGTGTGACATTTTGTGCTGCAGTCCCTTTTTAGTAATTATTACATGTCAGCTAAGCTTAAATCCCTAAAATAACCTTATCCTCTCCCCTCAATCCCTCAGACCCAACACTCATATTCTCTCTCTCTCTCTCTCTCTCTCTCTCTCTCTCTCTCTCTCTCTCTCTCTCTAAAACCAAGGGCTTTCTCAAGCTCGTCGCCCTGGCCCTCGTCCTCCTCGCTGTCGCCGCCTCCGCCCAGGCCCCCAAGCCTCCCCTCGGGTTCGCCGCCGCCTCCCCTCCTCTCCTCCGCCCAACCTCGTCACCGTAGCTCGCCATCGCTCCCTGCCTCGCTCTCGACTACGCCGAAGTCAGCCGCTGTCGCTCTCCGCCTCGCCCTCGAGTTCACCGCCACCTCCTCCCCGCCCGACCTTCGAGTTTAGCCTTCCCCCCACCCTAGAGTTCAGCCTCCAAGGCTCCACTTTGTATTCGGCCACCTTGATCTCATCGATTCCCTTCTCTTAAATAATTTGGAAGAAAAAAAACATCCACTACAATTTAGCTACCTTATCAAGAAGCTTAGTCCGTCTCTTTCCCGCTTCAACTATAGCTAAAGCCTTCTCATGCCAACCATGTTGAAGAAGCCAAGAAATATGATCTTCAGCATCTCTAGAGAGAACAAATATGTTAAGATTGTTATCAAACCAAATATGTAGTTCTACAAGCTCCCCAGTCTGTGGACAATAATACAGTTAGAACTAACACGCCAAAGGGAGATTTAAATCTTCATCTTTTAATTGAATCCACGCCCATTTTCATAAAATTTTGATTCTTGTACGCATTGGCTATTAATGTATAAAAAAGCATGAGGATTTTTGAAGCGATCAAGGATGTGGAAGTGAACGAGAAGGCGTTAAATCTAGAACTAACATGCGGTGTGTTAGAACTAACGCGTCGTGGGTTAGAACTAACACGTCGCATGTTAGAACTAACACGTTGCGTGTTAGAACTATAGCGAAAACAACATTGTAAACATACTTAAAAAAACATCAGAACTAACATCAGAGGTCACAGAACTAACATCATAGCTTACAGAACTAAAATCATTTTACACACAAATATAGTTCGAATCTAGAAAACCTCAAAAAAATTAAAGTTTTAGTCTCTTCAACAGCTTTTCAACGCATCTCAAATTACCTCATTCCGAGATCGGATGAGAAAGTTATAACCAAAATACAGATTATATGAATAATTTGAATCCGTAATTTGAATATATCATGATAAATAATAATAAATATGCGAGGTAAATTTGAATATATCATGATAAATGATAATAACTATGTGATATAGTTATAAATAACATTTATCGATGTTTGAATATGCTAGGAATTGATTTGGAATTAATTTAATATATATATGTGCCTAAATCTGGAAAAACTCAAAAGATCAAAGTTATAGGTCTCTTCAGCAGCTTTCCAATGCATCTAAAATCACTTCATTCTAAGATCGGACGGAGAAATTACAACGAAAATAATATTATAAACATAACATGAGAGCTCACAGAACTAACATCATAGCTCACAGAACTAACATGGGAGTTCACAGAACTAACATCAGAACTCACAGAACTAACATGGAAGGTCACAGAACTAACATCATAGCTTATAGAACTAAAATCATTTTACACACAGATGTAGTTCGAATCTAAAAAAACTCAAATGACCAAAGTTGTAGGTCTCTTCAATAGCTTTTCAAAGCATCTCAAATCATCTCATTCCGAGATCGGATGAGAAAGTTATAACCAAAATACAAACCATATGAATAATTTGAATCCGTAATTTGAATATATCATGATAAATGATAATAAATATGTGAGGTAAATTTGAATATATTATGATAAATGATAATAACTATGTGATATAATTATAAATAACATTTATCGATGTTTGTGTGTGCTAAGTATTAATTTGGGATCAATTTAATATATATATGTGCCTAAATCTGGAAAAACACAAAAGACCAAAGTTATAGGTCTCTTCAACAGCTTTCCAACGCATCTCAAATTACCTCATTCCGAGATCAGACGAAGGAATTACAGCGAAAATAATATTGTAAACATAACATGAGAGCTTACAGAACTAACATAAGAGCTCACAGAACTAACATCATAGCTCACAGAACTAACATGGGAGCTCACAAAACTAACATCAGAGCTCATAGAACTAACATGGGAGGTCACCTAACATAATAGCTTACAGAACTAAAATCATTTTACACATAGATGTAGTTCTAATC